AAAATAAATCCGTTAAATCAAATTGTCCAAAGTATACTTTTGAATGTGACATAATTCTTTCATTAATTATGCGCATTATTAACGTATTTTAGTTCTACATTTTGAATGCATCTACATTTTGAAGCCCAGAATGCATACATCTAGACCAGCGTTTTCTCAAACTGTGGGGCATCCCCACTAGGGGGCGTGATTACTCTAAGAAGGGGGAGCAAACATATTGAATAGTCGAAAAGCAAAGATTTTTTAAAAAAAATATTAATTTACTGAAAGTAAACCAAAAATAAAAGACATTCTGACGTAATAAAAAATAAAATATATATTTACACTGATATAATACACTTATAAATGTATCATTACTGCAATCTATTTTATAATTAATTTAACAATACTAATTTAAGAATAAGTTTAATAATTACCAGTATCCCCATCAGCTTGTCATATATGAAACTATATACAAAAATTAACAATTATATTAATAATTTATATTGTTTATAATTAATCTTTTAACTGCTGATTAAAAGTTACGCAATTCGCTCCGCAATGACACCGATTTCACATAGACGCGCTATGTGGCGCATGTGATGTATTGGATGGGAAAGGAATAAATAAGCAAATCCTTCGCAAATTTGTCAAAATCCTTTTATTGCATTCCAAAGCCTTCAAAATAATTTTATGGGTAGCAGTGCATAGGAAAGATCGTACTTCGGGACGACGTATTATATACGTCTGGGGCAAGTAACGTTTTGGCAGAGCGAGACTTATATATACGCCAGTGACACTTAAGTGATTAAAATTATATTATGCTTTAGCGTCAAAGTATAGTATTATTGAATTCAAAACATTGTTTTTGTAAAGAACGGGGTGCAATGGAAATTCTGATTGAATATTCGGTCGCAAATATTGAAAGTTTGAGAAACACTGACCAAGACCAGAGTTAACAAAAAACTCAAAGGTAATCGAAGCTTTAGTAAAGTACTATAAGTCTCTGGAGACATTAAACATTAAACACAATATAACAGAATCGGAAGAAGTAAAGATTTGTCACAATTTTAGTGTATTAATTGTGAGAGGACTGTTTTTAGTGTAACAATTATTTATTATTTAGGTTAGGTTACTACACGGACAACGAATATAAAAAAAAAAAAATTTCATAGAGACCTCAATCATTCCCTTTTTAATGCATGTATTGAAGAAAAGTAGTGACTGTAGGACGCTTCTGCTGCTTAGTTCAGTCACAGTTACATCTCTTATGACAGGAACGGTTGCAATATCAATTACTACAAATTTATTGCAGCGTTAATAAACAATGAATAAATAAATTAGTACGGGCATCCCTGGTGCTTTCCAACAATTTTCGAGCGTTCTTATTTGAACATTTAGTATCAAGCGATATATGCCTTTATAATTCAATATTAACAAAGTTGTTTAGGTACTATCGTTCCTCATTATTATAGGACTGATTAATTCACTTAAAATTCTATTATGTCCCCATCATTTTATTTTTTGTGATCAGTTTTTCACACATATGGTTGTATCATGTATGTATGGAGGAAGACAATAAGTGCTAAAATATATCATATAGGTTATTTGATGGTGTAAAATGTTATCTTTTACTATTATGAATTTCCTCTAGTAACATTGTCATTCAATTTAAGGTATCCGTCAAGGTTTGGAGATAAAGCTTTCAAAAATTGATTTTCTGAAAATTTTATTGTTTTAAAGAACCTAAATAGGCTTAAAAAGTCATAACTATTAAATAACAAACATGTATCGCCCTTTTTTGAAAAAAAAATTTATTTTTAGGAAAATTTTGCAAATTTTTTTAAGTTAAGAAAAACGTGATAAATAAAAATAAATTGCATATTATGCAATTTTAACGTCATTGATTAATACTTCTTAATCCCTCTGAGGAGTCACAAACCACAGGATAAACACAATAGTTTAAGAAATAAATATTTTATTAGCATTTAAATTTGATGGTCATGATTTTTCGTCAAAATTTCTGAATGTTCTAAGCTAAAAATGGCTGTAAAATGTGATTAAATGTAGCTGTCTTAAAACCTGCAGTTTTTACACTTTGAAGAGCCCATAGTATATATGTTATAAATTCCATTGCATTTCATTGGATTATTTTGAAGATATCCCGTTTTTCGTGCACAAATTATCATACAAAGTTCATTCTTCAAAAAACGAATTAAAAAAAATATTTTTATTAGTTAGATAAAGTAAATACTATAAAAACACTTAAAAAACTCTCTAGTTTTATATATTAGTCCTTTTTCTTCAGTAATTAATTTCTTTTTTCCATTATGACCCAAACAACACCAAACATCAAATGTTTAAAAAGCATTTTTCAACCTAGTCGGATACCTTAAAGAAATCAGTTAATTATAGATGATATCCGTTGAATGCTTGTTATTCAATATAAAGCATCCATCTACGATTATTTTCCATTACGGCAATGACATACCTTATATTTAGAAGATGCATGTCTGGTTTGTTTTCAAAATGGGTGAAAATTCCTTCACACAGTAAGATTTCCAGACATTTCATGAATCCAATATACTTGACATTTTTTCAGGGATAGTATTTGCAAACTATGTCATTCCAATATTCTAAAGGGTAAAGCAAGTTAAAGAACTTAAAAGGGGACACTTATTAACATTCTACTAAAAGTTAAGAATTCCAGAATAGTTTAAATTTATTTTTTTCAAACATGACTCAATAATTACTTATACTCTCCTTATTTACTGTTAAAAATCAATAGCCCTTAAAGCAGATACTTTGCTGTGAGCTTTGGTTATCTGATGCAGACGCACAATGAGATTGACGAAATCCTATCATGAATCATGATAAACTGGTAATTAACTAGATAATGATTTTTTTATTCAATTAAAATAATAGTTGTTTTAAAAGTAAATGATTTTATGTTAAGGAATGCGTAGGAACATTCAAATCTATTAGGCCTTGTTCTGTTTATCGTATAATAACTCCTTACTATTGCAAATTGTAAAACGGAGAACTAGGTAACTAGCCTTTTGCGAAATATGTGTTTTTAAATGATAAAATGAAAATGCAATAAGATTCAGACTCGATTTTCTTGGAAAGTCTTTCAATATTTAGGAACTAAAATATAAAGTTTCCTTTTTTGATCCTCTCGACTGCCTTCTAATCAAGTCGGGTATTAATTTGTTATTGATACGCCACCTGCCTAAAGACCTATTTTACGCTACTAAAATCAGTGTAACTAGGTCTTGGACGAGACGTAGTTTTTCATCCATGAGATAACCCTCCTTGTACTAAGAAAATGACTGATATTTGATGAAGCAGTTGAGGAAAGTGGGATTACAGCCATTTTAAAAAAAAAGATTTTGCACTTACATTTTCCATGTAAAACAGAACTGAAAAATTTACTACCAGGTTTTAAAAATATTAAAACTAAAATAAATTTAGACAGAAAGAAAAATTAAATAGAAAGAAAAAAATATGCGAATAGCTATTATGGAATGTGAAAAAGTAGGAAATGATTTATGAAAAGTAAAAAAGAAACAGTTTGCAATTTGTTACTATCATCACATTTAATATTATGGCCCTGCAAACGCGCGCCGTAAGATACGCAATAAGTAATTCCACCGCCCCTGAAATATAATCATTTTTTTTTTGTCAAACGTGTTGTGTCTACCACATTTATAGCACATTTCACAAAGACTGAAATCAATAGATTCTTATCGGCAATAATTTCCAAGAATTATACAATGGAAAAAAATCGCAAAAAATTGAACACGAATACTACAACAACAACGTGCAATATAGCAATGGTTACTTTTTTTTCAATTCCTACTGTTAACTCAAATTCTCTATATATTTGTTTATTTATTTTTATTTTCGTTGAATTTTGAATCGTTCATAAAATACATTTTAAAGTGCTCAATCGATCTGAAATTTTATTTACATGATTATTTTGGATGACAATACAGTAATTTAATTATAATTAATAAAAATTGTTTAAAACTAATTATCCAAAGAATTACAAATACATCCACGTTGGTATTATTTTTGGCGTTTTGCGTCAAAACTTGAAAATATTTTTTCGCGCGTTTTAAAGCATTCAGTTGAACTGAAGTTTTATATACACGATTGTTTTGGATGACAATACGATACTTTAATGATAATGAATAAAAATTAATTGCCATTTAATGTTGTGATTCTGTCATATGCATATACATATTTATATTAGGTGTAACTATTTAGTAAAAAGTAGCTAAAATAAAATTTTTCTTTGTTGATCTAAGTAGGAATTGACTTAATTTTTTTTATATTACTTGTTTAAATTGAACTTATTTCTTGAAATTAATAGGGTTACAACAAAAAATAAAACCAATAAAAAACGACCATTTATGCAAATATTAAAGGAAACATTGTACCAAATTATCAAGGCTACCACACATATTACAATATTATCGCCCAACTTGACAAAAATAAAAAAAAAATAAAAAATAATTTGGCAGGTAGCGGATCGATATCCAAAAACAGTAATACATCGAACTTAGCGATAGGTGAGACAGAGTGTTAACCGCGTAAGTCGGGGTATAATTTCGCATCTAAATGCATATAAATTATTTTTAGTTAGGGTTGGAGACGAAAAATAATAATTTAGAAAAAGTGTGTATGTATTATGTACGCACGTAAGAAGTTATACTTCTTTGGCATAACAAGATTAAAATCTTTCTAAAAATCTTTAGCAGGGAAAGCTGGGCCAAGAACGAAAGGCTGTCACGAGCAGAGTTGAACGATACTAACCTTCCGTCAATCGGACCAGCCAAACCTGAGATAACCACGAATTAAATAAATTTAAACACACCCGCACAGGGATTATAGGACCAATAATATGGGGAGGGGGGAGTCGAAGGAGGGAATAATCTGTCCCGTTCTGCATATTTCTAGAAAAAAGAATTTTAGTATCCGTTCCTACGGAACGCAAAGCAATGGTTCGCTAAAGCGGCGGTATAGCTTAATGGTACAGCATTCGAATGCAGATCGAGAGGTCTCCGGTTCAAACCCGGATGCTCCCTTCTTCAGAGAAGTGAAGAGAAATTTTTTTTGAGAAATTCGAAGGCGGGAATGATTTGTCTCGTTCTGCATATTTCTAATCAAAGCATTTTCGTATCCGTTCCTATACTGAACGCAAGGCAAATGTTAGCTGACGCGGGGGTATAGTTCACACACACACAGTGTTAGAGCATTCGACTGCTTATGGAGTGGTCCCTGATTCAAACACGGAAGTCTTCTTTTTCAGGAAAGTGAAGATAATTTTTTTTTTTTTGAGGATTTTGAAGGCGGGAATGAGAGAGAGAGAAAGAGAGAGATCTGTTCCATTCTGTATATTTCTAGACAAATCATTTTCGTATCTGTTCCTAAGGAACGCAAAGCAAAGGCTCTCTGACACGGGGTGTATAGCTCAGTGGTAGAGAATTCGACTGCAGATCGGGAGGTCCTTGCTTCAAACCCGGGCGGCCCCATTTTCAGGGAAGTGAAGAGAAATAATTTTTTTTTGAGAATTTCGAAAGCGGCAATGATTTGTTCCGTTATGCATATTTCTAAACAAAGCATTTTCGTATACGTTCCTATGGAACACAAAGCAAAGGTTTGCTGACGCGGATGTATAGCTCAGTGGTAGAGCATTCGACTGCAGATCGAGAGTTATGCGGTTCAAACCCGGGTGTCCTCTTCTTCAGAGAAGCGAAGAGAAATATTTTTCTGAGAATTTTGAAGTCGTGAATGATTTATCCCGTTCTGTATCTCTCAAGACAAAGGATTTTTGCATCCGTGACAGTGTGCGTCACATCCGTGACAGTTTTGCGTCACATCCGTGACGGTGTGCGCGCGCATTGTAAAAATTTACCCTCATCCTATTTCTCTAACGCCCCAATAGAAGTATAACTTCAAAAATATGCTTAGTAAAATCTTAGATAACCCACAAAAATACAAAATCGCAAACCGAAGCTATTTTGATTTAAGAGACTTCGTAAAATCTAACAAGGTAGTCTGCTAGCTCAAAGATTATTTTTTTCTCGCAAAATTTCCTCGTAGTATGCTAATATTTTTTTTTATTCCTTGTTTTTGTAGAAAAAATACTCTCTTCAAGTCTGTATTTTCTAAAATTTGTATAACCCTTTGTTTTTTAATTAAACTAAAATCTTCTGTCAAATTACCAATCGTCATTCGATCATCTAATCAAACTAAGTCTATAGATTCCAGTTCTTAAATGTCTTGCTTTTGCTCATGCATTTCTATGAGCTCATCAATTTTCAGTTCCTGATTATGGGAGAGAGAGAATCTAGCAGTTCTTGAACTTCATCACTATCCACTTCTAAATTTATTTGCCTGGCAAGATTGACAACTTATTCTATCAAATTACCAATTTCATTTGATTGGGCATAGATTCCGCCAAAATTTCAGAGATGGAAAAAAAAAAGACTAAGGGATGAAATTTGAAATTCGCGTAACTCCGAATTTGTGTAAGTCGAGGTATTACTGTACATTAGTAATTCGGATGATTCAATGAATCGGCACCATATCAAATGATATGCATCACTTTTTGGTGACTCTAAAACGGTACATTCCTTGTATGACAGCATAATGATTTCTTTGAATTCTACAATTATTCTTTTTTTATTTGCTTGTACTTTTAAACTTTTATGTTTTGTATTTGCTTTGCCATTAGAGAAAAATATGAAGTGTGTCTCGAGAAAAAATAAAAACACGTGCTGCTTACTGCCTTATCAGCTCACACAATGGATTGTGTTGACTCACAAAGGCAGAAAAAACTTATGTTCCCCTATAAAAGAGTTGAAAGGTTTCCAAATGCTATGAATAATGCAATAGTTTGATGAGGTACTTCGTTCACGTGCAGAAAAAGTTGGAGATATCTCAGAATTGCTCCCTCATTGATTTGTACACAAGAAGAAAACGAGGGCAAAGAAATGTTGTCATCTGTTTGCTCTGACAAAACAACTTTTTTTTCTGTAGGCTTGAGATATACAAGAAAGTGTATATCTTGTTTTATTAGAGATAGAAAGGAAAGAGGTCAGATAACAACCGAAATATTTTTGGATTCAACCATAAGTGGAAGAAGTACTTTTAGTATTCTTGATATATAAAAGAAAATAGTTTTTCTGAGGGAATTAATGTATTTTTTTTTTAAATTTTACTCTTCAAACGACATTTATAAGAAAACTCTACTTAAGCCTATGTAATTTTTGTGGTTTCGATATTCAAGAAATTCGTTGAAAATTGAGTAAATTACCGTATTTATTTGAGTCTAAGCCACACCACAAATTATCAATACGTTTTTGTGAAAAAATAATTAGTGTTCAGTGGATACTTTTCTGTCAGCCGGGCTCAAGCGAAAAATCGCCAAATAATAGAGAATTTTGCCAAATTTCTTACAACCATGTTCGTTTAATTGCGCTACTGCACAACTAAAACGGAAGAAGCTGGTCTACAGTATTTCAAAGTCAATCACTGGCACAATTTCGTTGATCCCGACACTGGTGTAAGCACTCAGAAAATCGAACGACTTGAGGGGTATAAACAAACAAATGCGATGGTTTGCCAAACCTCGGACATGTAACATATTATTGGCCGTGCGAAGAGCAAGGGTTTTCTAAATCTAAGCCACAAATTGTCATTGTTTACCCTTGGGATTTATTAGTGGTCATAACAAATTCCAAGTGAAAAGGAAATTGAAAACATTTAAATGGGTAGGTGAGTCTGAAAAAATCATTGGGATCTGTGGTAGAAGTACAACTTCGCCTTGAAGTTTGCCGCTCAAAATAGTGGCCTCAAGAATATTGCCCATGATTTTTTTATAAACAATCACGCGCCCTTACATAACTTTGGCACATTTTTAACTAATTGCGATATCTGACTGAAGTGTGAATCTAAGCCATTCTCGAATCCACAAAAGAAATATCACTTAAATCGGTCCAGCCGTTTAGGAAGTGTTAGTCACATACACACATATACACGCACAGAAGAATTATACACATAAACATTATTTGAAAACATATTAATTAAAAACCCTAAAACGCATGATTCGTCTGCAATTTTGTAACAATAAAAACCCGGTTTGGCCAGTTTGACTGAAAATCGATTTTCGACACCAAAACTTACGTCATTTTTATAACAATAACGTTGTTACAACAACACAGGTGAATATTGAGTTGAGTGTGTTTAATATTTTTAAGTTATATATTTTTAACTAATTGGAGATATAGGACCGAATTGTGAATCCGAACCATTGTTGAATCCACTTGAACCCACATAAAAGATTTCATCAAAATCAGTCCTCTTAGGAAGAGTTTAGTCACATGCACACACAGAAGATTTATATACATAAAAAAAAGATATATATATATAGGAGATTGTGAACTAATAGGAATTAAAAAATAGAATTTACAAATTTGTTTACTGCATTACGTATTTATTCATTTATAAGCATTTTAATTTTTCAATTTATTATTTTTTTTGTTAAGGAATATATTTTTATTTTTCAAATCCGGCATATATAGATATGATTTACGTGGCTTCTGGAGACTAAATTTAATCTTGTGTTCCCCGATATTATTAGATGTTCACACAGGAGGATCAAAATTAATTCTGTTCCGAAATTTTGCTTAAGAATTGAGTAATTGATTTACATTTGTTTCTGCATCCGTTCTGTGTGTCTTTTTCAAACCTTTTCTTTGTCTATTTCGCAATTTGTAACTTCAAGAAATATAGTTTTGAATGAGATAATCAGTTTGAATTTGTGTCTAACTTTCTATATTTTTATAATCTGTTGCTTCTCTTGTACTTGCAGCTAATTTCTTTCATACTCTTTTCAATTCTTCGTGGATCAACCTCTTTATTAATGTATGTCTAAGCTAATTGGATGTTTCCTTTGTTCTTGGAATTTCAAGTCCTGTTTGTGGCTACCTATTGCCTTTGGACTCGAGACTCCCGATAGTTTTTAATGATTCATAGCGTAGAATCCCTCAAATAGTATAAGAATATGCGACAATTAGGGATTGCAATATCGGACAAAAAGCTCAATACCCCGGGGGTATTCGGTATTTTTAAATCTCAATACAGGATTCCGGTTTAAATACCGGTGGTAGAAGTTTAAGAAAAAGAAAGAAATACGCACACATTTCTTTCTTTGTCTTATATCTGTCAGTTATATTAGAGAGTGTAGATATAGCAAAAAATAATCTGTAATTTATAGATTATAACAGTGCATAAAGAATCACAAAAAAGGGTAAATATCACTATTCAATCTGTTGTACTATTACAAGTTTTTGAGATGTGATCTTAAAAATATAATGCAACAACTGCTCTGCCATTAAGCCTGGAACGCAGTTTAGTGAAAAAATTGCCAGCTGTCGAAAATGCTCTTTCGCCATCTATGCTAGTTGGTGGTACTGTTAGCAATGCGCACGATATACTTTTTCCAAGTTTTTACCTCTAAATCCTTCATCTTCAAATAAATCAATTTCTCGATGGATGGTTTTCGATATAGCTGGTTTCTATATTGTATTTTGGTTTGTTGAAATTTTTTAGTTATCAGTAATTCTCTAATTTTTCTTTAAGAGATAATTCTTTTTCACTATGGACATAAGCGTTACCATCATCTTCGATAAAAGTACTCAATTCTCCTGAATGTAGATAGGTTTGTGAGTAAAAAATTTTAAGAAATTTGAATTGGTTAGTCTTCTTTTTCATTTTCAATTTTAAAATCATTGTAATTATGTAAATACCGTAAGATATTTTCTATTACGGTATGCCATTCTTCTGCGGGATTTTTCAATGTGGAATACGTAATTCTTCAGATAGTGACGCGTGCTGTTCTTCCAGTGACTACAACATGAAATTTATTGTTGCATTAGCTGTTAATAAATTAGAATCTCTCCCTAAATAATGCCTCAACAGCCAGTTGTATTGGAATTAGAGCTGATACAGTTCTAGATATTAAGTGGAATTCACTACCGGAATAATTAATTTGCTGGTTTAAGTCGATCATTGCTTTTTA